ATTGATATGGTGAATTATGTTGATCAGTTTTTCACAGGTTGAGTCAACCTTGTGTTTCTGGGATATACCCTATTAGGGCATGATGTATTATCCATTTTGTATGTTACTGGATTGAATTTGGAGGTGGTGGTGGTTGTAAGGTTTTTAATTATGAATTCAATTTCTTTAATAGATGCAGGATTATTTAGGTTACATATTTTCAGTGACCTTTGGAATTTGTTTCTTTAAGAATTTGTTCATTTCATATAAGTTGTTGAACGTATGAGTGTAAAGTTGTTCTTGAACATTATTGTCTCATTATCCTTTTAATGTGCTTAGGCTCTGTAGTGGTATTGCCTCTTTCATTACTGAGTCTGATCTTATAATTATTAGTTCCTTACTTCTGATTGTTTTGGATTTCATTTCTTCTCTGGTTTCTTAAGCTTAGATCATTGATTTGAGAGCTTCTTTCCAAATATGTGCATTTAATGTAATAAGTTTTTCTCTAAACACTACTTTAGTCACATCTCACAAATGTTGACAATGTTGTTTTTTCTTTTTCTTCAGTTCAAAATATGTTCTAGGTTTTTTTGAGGGTTTCCCTTTGACCCTGGATTATTTGGAAGTATGTTGTTTAATTCCCATTCATTTGGGGTAATTCTCCTGTTTTGTTTTCCTTTTGTGGTTTAATGTTATGGTCAGAGACCATGCTTTTTATAACCAAAATTATTTATAACTGTTATGATTTCTTTTATGATCAAGGATAAGGTCTAACTTGGTGAGTGTTCCATATGCATTTGAAAAGAATGTGTATCTGCTATTGTTGGATGAATTATTCTATACATGGCAGTTAGAGTCAGTTGGTTGATGGTGTTCAGTTGTATAACAAACTGGTGTGAAAGCATGAGTGACAAGTGAGAAAATGGATTAACAAATACAACATTTTCAAAAGTTTTGGTTACAAGGGGAAGGGAAAGGGGGGTCCTATTAAAGAAGAGAGTGATTGAAGTATATATACATGAAATCAGAAGGATTCAGTGAAGAGAGAGTAGTTGAATACACAGGAAAATTGCTCATGTATGTTTTCTGAGAAGAAGGGATTCCAAAGCAAGAGCCCTAAGAGTGTCCTAAGGAAGAAAATAGTTTTTCTAATTAGGTAGAAAGGAAGAAAAGTTAAAAACCTTCAGTTGCTTTCTTGTATAACTAATATAAAATATGGACTTCCCTTCAGGTCTTGGAAGTGCTACGTAGTTTTGCTTCTGCCTATCTCTCTGACCTTAAAGCCCACCCCATCCTTCTAATTTCTGTGCTCTTGCTACAGTGGCCTTTATTCAGATTCTCTAACCCAGTGATTTTCAAACTTTTTTTTAATAGACTTTATTTTTTTAGAGCAGTTTTAGATTCACAGCAGAATTGGGCAGAAAGTACAGAGTTCCCATATATCCCCTGACCTCACACATACACAGCAACATCCAGCACCAAAGCGGTACATTTGTTTCCGTCAGTGAACCTACGCTGACACCTCATATCACTCAAAGTCCATAGTTTACACTGTCACTCTTGGTGTTGTACATTCTGTAGCTTTTGAGAAATGTATAATGATATGTGTCCACCATTATTGTATCATAGAGAATAGTTTCACTGCCCTGAAAATCCTCTGTGCTCTGCCTATTTATTCCTCTCTCCACCTTGATCCCTAGCAACCACTGATCTTTTTAACTGTCTCTATAGTTTTGCCTTTTCCAAAATGTCATATAGTTGGAATCATACAGTATATAGTATTTTCAGAGGGGCTTCTTTCATTTAGTAATTTGCATTTAAAGTTCTTCCATGTCTTTTCATGGCTCGATAGCTCATTTCTTTTTAGCACTGAATAATATTTCACTGTCTGGATTTACCACAGTTTAATTATCCATTCACTTACTGAAAGACATGTTGATTGCTTGCAAGTTTTGGAGATTATGAATGAAAATGCTATAAACATCTGTGTACAGATAAGTTTTCAACTCATTTGGGTAAATGCTGAGGAGCGTGATTGCTGGATCATATGGTAAAAGTATGTTTAGTTTTTTAAGAAACTGCCAAACTGTCTTCCAGAGTGGCCATTGTCGATTTCTATATTAAAAATCAGTAAAGCATAATTTTTGTAATTAGTTTTAATTAAAAAATAGAAGCGCTAATATTTTCTTCTGACATAGCTATGGATCATCTCACACACTCCTGTTTAGAAGGTATAAGCTCTTTCTTAACTGTGGCATTTGTTCTTTTTTCAGAGGCTACCCTTTGTATGGCCTGTTTTTTCTTGTCCTTCAAGTCTCAGTTTAAATGTCACGGCCATTTTCTGATTGTTTTTCCTAATTTCTTCCTCTCTTTTTATTTTCTACTGTGGTACTCTTTCCATCATAGTACTTTTGTGAAAATAAATGACACGCTTCTAAATAATTCATGGGTGGAAAGAAAATTCTCAAGGCATGTTTAAAACTGAATGAAAATGAAAATTACAACATATCAAAATTTGTGGAATGTAGCTAAAGTTATGTTGAGAGGGTAATTTATAGCATTAAATGCCTACATTAGAAAAGAGGAAAGATATCAAATTAATAATCTTAGCCTCCATCTCAAGAAACTAGAAAAACAAACAAATCCAAAGACTTCAAGCAGAAGATAAGAACAGAAATCGATGAAAACAAAACAGTAAAGGAAAATTATTGAAACAAAAAGCTGATTCTTTGAAAACATCAAAATCTAGACCCTCTAGCAAGAGTGAGTAAGGTAAAGAAAGACACAAATTATTGATATTAGGAATTAAATGGGATATAATTGCAGATTCCACAGATACTGAAAGAATAGTAAGGGAATGCTATAAACAACTCTACACACATAAATTTGATGACTGAAAATAAATGGAACAATTCCTTAAAACCACACACTATCAAAACTCACCCAGTATGAAATAGGTAATCTGTATACTTCTGTAACGAGTAAAGAAATCAAATCTGTAATTTAAAACTTTTCATTAAAAAATTGGGAACAAGACAAGGGTATTCACTGTCACCACTCCTATTCAACATTGTACTGGAGGTCCTAGCTAGGGCAGTTAGGCAAGAAAAGGATAATTGGCATACAGATTGGAAAGGAAGAAATAAAACTTCACATTTGTAGATGATATGGCTGTCTATGTGTAAAATTCCAAGGAATCTACATTTAATGATGTCTTTTGGGGTTTTATTTTATTTTAACTCCAGAAACTCCTTTTAAAAAAAAATTTATTGAAGAATAGTTGATTTACAATGTTGTGTTAATTTCTGCTATACAGCAAAGTGACTTGGTCGTACATATATACATTCTTTTTCATATTCTTTGCGTTATGGTTTATCACAGGATATTGAACGTAGTTCCCTGTGCTATACAGTAGGACCTTGTTGTTTATCCATCCTATATATAAAAGTTTGCATCTGCTAATCTCAAACTCCCAATACTTCCCTCCCCTACACCTCCCTCCACTTTGACAACCACAAGTGTGTTCTTTATGTCTGTGAGTCTGCAGAAACTGCTTTTTAATATCATGCTGTTTTGCTATCTGCTCTTTGAGCTTTTTTTGTTGTTGAATTCATGGAGAAAGGGAATTCATTTGGAGGCATGCACTGCCGCCGTTTTTGGAGAAGTAGGACTCTTTTGTTGAATGTCTTATACTAGCTTTTTTTTTTACCCACTTACTAGAGGAATATGTTGGATTCTGTGAGAACTGGGATAATTTCCCCAAGTAAAATAAAAGCCCTGAAAGTTGAGATTTAATCAGAGACAGAGAGTTGCATTGTTGGCTTTTCCTGTTTCAGCACTTTGCTCTTGCCAAGTAATAAGAAGGAAATGCTAAAGATAATGCCTCCTGTTTTTCTGTCTCCAAATTTGTGTGTGTTAATTCATGTTTTTACCATTATTTAGGTATTGCATGTAGTGAAAAAACTTTGGGAAGCACTTGTGTAGAGTTCTATAAAGTCAGATATGATAGGAATCATTTTTCTTACTACTTGATGTTTGAGGTTTTTATATTGTCCTTATTCTTTTGAATTTAACATTTCTGACTTTAAGCTATTTCTGCAGAATTATTTGACATATACAGTTGAAATTATTCTTAAGTCACTTTGCTAACTGAGGACTTCCTAATTATCTCTTTATGGGAAGAAAATCCTGCCTTAGCAACTTTGCTTTTCATTGTGTTGGGAGATAATTCTCAATGCATTTCACGTTTCTGCATGTCATGTCAAAGACATGACACTGACTATTCTTTTCCAGACTGTTTTTTAAAGTATGTACAGTGAGCCTTGGAAGATAGAGATGACAGAGATGATGGCCTCCTCCAGAACAAAGGACAGGTTTGCTTGCAGCTCATTGCTTGGGATATCTCTCCTGTATGGTAGCTCATCATTTGAACTGTGTCACTTGTCCCTCTTCACACTGCTTTTGAGATTGAGGAATTTATGCAAAAATGAAGGTACTCTGGCTACTCTCATTGCTGTGAGAAATAAATTGTCCTCTTTCTCTGATCAGGAATTTCATGTCTTCTGCCAACATCCGTGAAACTGGCATTCTAATTTGTTGGGTTACAAATAGCGTAAAGTCTCAGATTTTTCACAGTTCTTGACACACTTTACACACATTATTAATCAAATAGCACTAAGACAAAACAAAACAAAACTGTGGAGAGTACACTGTCAAGTGCTTTGTTAGGCCTAGCTGAAGGAATTTAGGAATAGAGAAGTTAAGTAGCTTATCTGAGATCTGGCTCTTAAACTGGTGTTCACATACTCTGCTGCCTGTAGTTCCTGTCTTGAAGGCAGTTTAATTTATAAAAATAAATATTGATGGAATGCTCTTACTGTAGTAAGTATAAATTAATATAATTTTTAATCTTTTGTCTGTGGGATTATTGAAATTTAAATTGAATTTTGACATCTAAGTTAAATGTTTCGATAGTTTTCTTTTTAAAAACATAACTAACATTTTTTTTTTTTTTTTTTAAGAATTGTTCTCTGTGTACTTCCAGCTGTATCTTAAACCTTCACAAGACATTAATAGAGTTTTGGTGGCTAGAATAATTGAAGCTGTGACCAAAGGATGCTGTTCGCAGACTGATGGATTAAATTCCAAATTTTTGGATTTTTTTTCTAAGGCTATTCAGCATGCAAGGTAATCTAATCTGTTTTTGTTTTGTATTGGAAATCCATTTGCTCTTTTTGCAAGACTGTGTTTTAGATTGAGTAACTAAATTTTACCAACTTGAAAACATCATTGGCCGATTATAGTAGAACTAGTGGATTCCCAAGGAAAGTGTTAGGTCCAGCACTTCCTGAATATCCAATATGCAGAACATGTAATGATGTTCTAGATCTGTCTTGCTTTTTTAATAACAGGAAAAGCTATATGGCCTCTAAATATTTTTATTTTCCTGAATTTTGAAGATAGTTGTAACGTGCTAAGAATAAAATGAAATATATTTTGGAAATATCAGTATCTTATATTTGTGTGGCATTACCCAATTTATAATGTGAAATATTTTATAAATGGTAGGTATTACAAATTAGTTTTATATAATTTTAGACAGTGTTTCAGCAGCAGGGAGAGCTAACAGAGTGATCTCCCAATGCCGAATAGGAACTATTTTTTGTTGTTGCTAAGTAGTGCTGCTGTGATTTTTCTGAATAATTCTGAAAGTAAGGCTACTATTATTTGAAAATCAGAACTTTTTTTCTTTCAGCACGCAACTTCATTACTGTCTTCAGTTTCTGCATTTTCCCCTGTTATATTAAGTCTGTTTATTTTCTGTTACAGACAAGAAAAGAGCTCTGCAGGTCTAAATCATATCTTAGCAGCATTTATTATTTTCCTCAAGACTTTGGCTGTTAACTTTCGAATTCGAGTATGTGAATTAGGAGATGAAATTCTTCCTACCTTACTTTATATCTGGACTCAACATAGACTTAATGATTCCTTAAAAGAAGTAATTATTGAGTTATTTCAACTACAAATTTATATCCATCATCCAAAGGGAGCCAAAACTCAAGAAAAAGGTATAAAGAAAGTTTTTGCTATTTTGAATTTGCTTCTTCATTGAAATATAGAGGGTTAAGTATGAAATCTGTATGTTATAGGAGGTTATGACCTTCCTCTGGATTGCTTTGCTTGGTAATAGTGTCAGTCATGAGGATATTTTTCACACTTTTTTTTTTTTAATTTGAAGCTATGGTAGGTAGCAAATCATATCATGCCTTACCATTTGTTTAGTACAATGCTACGTTTTGTGAGGAATACAAACAAATATGAGACACTATTCCCTCTAGGAGCTGATTATGCAGCAATAATTAGGTGCTAAGAGGTGTGACGCAGACTGTAGGAGTAAAAGAATTTAGAGAAGACAGGATCTCGTTTATCTACATATTGCTTTTATTAGAAAATAAAATAGATAAATGTGGATTGAACCAGCCAGATTAGTCAGTTCCCAAGGAAGATAAATACATATTTGCTAGGGAAACCAGAAATGAATGACTTATCCTCCCTTCATTCATTTATGTTTGTCTTTCACCAAAAGAGTATTGCATGGATGATGTAGCTCCATTCAGTAGACAGGAACTTTACTGGGTGGAACTGGAATTGAATGAGTTCTCTCATGCTTAGGCTATGTTTTGAATCTGGCTTGTACTAGCCTTTGGACCAATTCATCATGGCTAGTGTAATGACCTTATTAAGGACATTAATTGAATAGTAGCTAAAATAGAGGAAAACTGTTTGTAGCCACTTTTTATCAAAAGCAGCTGTGTATGTTTCATGGGCTCTTCTAGTATGTATAGTTAGATGTATTTGTAGCCCATGAAACCACTGGAGGTGAAAGAATGGTGGCTTTCCTTAGTTTTTCATCTTTCACATAGCTCTCACCAGAATGAAAATCAGGCTTATTAAGAGATGGTGAGACATGTTTAGGGTTTTAGTTAAGTGCATGTTTAGGATCAATTGAAAATTGGCAGATGATGAGGCTGTCAGAAACACGAATATAGTTTTAGTATACATTAATAGACTTTATTAGGTTCTTTAATAGATTAATTAAATTCATTAATAGATTTTAAATAGGTTCTTCGTTTTGTGGGAGGAAACAGCCCCATTGTTCCCCATACTCGTTAGATCGTGGTTGGGAATATTATGCTTACCAGAGTTTGTAGAGTCATCATTTTAAGAGGGACATAAGTTGACTGGAGTGTGTCTAGGGAAAGATGACTGGGATGATGATAAGTCTGGATAACATGTTATTTGTACACTCGTTGAAGGAACTGGTAGTGTTTTTCTCTTAAAGACATACAGAGAAGTTGGTCCTTATGTATAAGAGGGACAGTATTAATTTGCTTTGGGGGAGAGAAGAAATTAAAGTTTGATTGAGATTTTGATTGAATTGGTTAGAGATAGATGAGAATATGGAAGAATTTTATAAGAAATACAGTTAACTGAGTGTGAAATGTGTGAAATGGACATCATTATGAAGTAGAGCTTGTAAGGATATTGTCAGAAGAGCCATTAGTACTAAATAGGCTGGACCAGATGTCTCCTAATGTTTCCACCTTAACAGCTGAATAGTTTTGTGGGAGTTGGCAGTGCAAATGGATTGTATGTATAAATTATATTTTAATTTAATTAATTATTTTTTAAAATTACAGGTGCCTATGCATCAAGAAAGTGGAAGAGTATCTTATACAATGTATATGATCTGCTAGTTAATGAAATAAGTCATATAGGAAGCAGAGGGAAATATTCTTCAGGATCTCGTAATATTGCTGTCAAGGAAAACTTGATTGAATTGATGGCAGATATTTGTCACCAGGTATAGTAGATCTTGTCACATTTTGAAATTTCTCATTCTCCTTTTATTGGCCTGTAAAAAGCGTGTAAAATTACTCGGTACATGTAACTATTCCTTTCTAAACACCATAAATATTTAGCATTGCTCTTCTAACTTAAGAGGTAACTATCTTGCCAATATAAACTTAGGGAAAACTGATGATGAACTTTTCCATTCTTAAGAAAACTGTCTACAAGCAATAAGATTATCCTAACCCTATGTGTTTTCTTTCTTTGTTTTTTTCCTGATTTAGAAATCACATGACATAAAATTCATTATTTTAAAGGGTGTAATTCAGTGGTTTTTAGCATTTTCACTCTGTTGTGCAACCATCAGCACTAATTCCAGAGCATTTCCATCACTGCCAAAGCAAACTTTGTACCTATTAGCAGTCAGCCTCAATTCCCTGCTTCCAGTTCCTAGCGACCAGCCACTAATCTACTTTCTGCCTCTGTGGATTTGCCTGTTTTGGACATTTCATATAAATTGAATCATACGATGTGTGGTCTTTTGTGTCTGGCTTCTTTCACTAAGCATAATGTTTTCAAGGTTCTTCCATGTCATACCATGAATAAGTATTTCATTCTTTTTTATCGCTGAGTAATATTCAGTTGTAGGGATATATTACATTTTGTTTACCCATTCATCAGTTGATGGCTTAATGTTTCTTTTTTTTTCTCCATAGAAGAAATTTTAAAATTTATGCAATTTTTAAAGGTTATACTCCATTTACAGTTATTGCAAAATATTGTCTACATTCCCCGTGTTGTACAATACATCCTTACAATAAACTCCCACTCATAGTTTGTTACCCCCCATCCCCCACTGGTAACCACTGGTTTGTTCTCTGTATCTGTGAGTCTGCATCTTTTTTGTTATATTCACTAATTTGTTGTGTTTTTTAGATTCCACATGTAAGTGATATCATACAGTATTTGTCTTTCTCTGTCTGACTTATTTCACTTAGCATAACGCCCTCCAAGTCTATCCGTGTTGCTGCAAATGGCAGAACTTCTTTCTTTTTTTATGGCTGAGTAGTAGTCTTTTGTGTGTGTGTGTATGTGTATATATATACGTATGTATATACACTCACCAATCTTTATCCATTCATCTCTTGATGGACACTGAAGTTGCTTCCATATCTTGGCAATTGATGCTGCTGTGAACATTGGGTGCATGTACCTTTTTGAATTAGTGGTTTTGGTTTTTTTGGATATATACCCAGGAGAATTTTACTGGGTCATATGGTAATTTTTTTTTTTTCATATGGTAATTTTAATTTTTGAGAAACCTCCATAGTGTTTTCCACATTAGCTGCACCAATTTACAGTCCCCCCAACAGTGTATGAGGGATCCCTTTTCTCTGCATCCTTGCCACTGTTTTTTATTTGTGTTCTTTTTGATGATAATCATGATAACCATTCTGACAGGTGTGAAGTGATATTATGGTTTTGATTTGCATTTTCCTGATGATTAGCATGTTGAGCATTCTTTCATGTGCCTGTTGGTCATCTTCGTTTCCTCTTTGGAAAAAATGTATGTTCAGGTCTTCTGCCCATTTTTTAATAATGTTGTTTGTTTGTTTGTTTGTTTTGATGTTGAGCTGTATGAGCTGTTTATATGTGTGAATATTAACCCCTTATAGGTCATATTATTTGCCAACATTTTCTCCCATTCAGTAGGTTGTCTTTTCATTCACTGGATAGTTTCTTTTGCTGTGCAAAAGCTTGTGAGTTTAATTGGGTCCCATTTGCTTATTTTTGCTTTTATTTCCTTTTCTTTAGGATATGAATCCAAAAAAGTATTGCTATGACTTACGTCAGAGGGTGTTCTGCCTGTGTTTTCATCTAGGAGTTTTACAGTATTCAGTCTTACATTTATGTCTTTAATTCATTTTATTTTTGTATATGGTATAAGAGGACATTCTAATTTCATTCTTTTACATGTAGCTGTCCAGTTTTCCCAGCAACACTTATTGAAGAGACTGTCTTTTCTCCATTGTATATTCTTGCCTCCTTTGTCATAGATTAATTGACCATAAGTGCATGTGTTTATTTCTGGACTCTCTATCCTGTTCCATTGATCTATGTGTCTGTTTTTGTGCCAGTACCACACTGTTTTGATTACTGTAGCTTTGTAGTCTTTATAGTCTGAAGTCAGGGAGTGTGATTCTTCTAGCTCTGTTCTTCTTTCTCAAGACTGTTTTGGCTATTTGGGGTCTTTTGTGTTTCCATACAAATTTTAAAGTTATTTGTTCTGGTTCTGTGAAAAATGCCATTGGTATTTTGATAGGGATTGCATTGAATCTGTAGATTGCCTTAAGTAATATGGTCATTTTAACAATGTTGATTCTTCCAATCCAAGAACACAGTATATCTTTCCATCCGTTTGTGTCGTCTTCAGTTTCTTTCATCACAGTCTTACGGTTTTCCAAGGACAGGTCTTTTGTCTCCTGTAGGCAAAAGGTTTATTCTAGGTATTTTATTCTTTTTAATGCAAGGTAAATGGGATTGTTTCCTTAATTTCTCTTTCTGGTAGCTCATTAGTGTGTAGAATTGCAACAGATTTCTGTATATTAATTTTGTATCCTGTGACTTTACTTAGTTCATTGATGAGCTCTAGTAGTTTTCTGGTAGCATCTTTAGGGTTTTCTATGTATAGTATCATGTCATCTGCAAACAGTGACAGTTTTATTTCTTCTTTTCCAATTTGGATTCCTTTTATTTCTTTTTCTTCTCTGATTGCTGTGGCTAGGACTTCCAAAACTGTTGAAGAAAAGTGGCAAGAGTGGACATCCTTGTCTTGTTCCTGATCTTAGAGGAAATACGTTCAGCTTTTCACCATTAAGTATGATGTTAGCTGTGGGTTTGTTATATATGGACTTCATTATGCTGAGGTATATTCCCTCTGTGCTTGCTTTCTGGAAAGTTTTTATTATAAATGAATGTTGAATTTTATCAAAAACTTTTTTGTATCTATTGAGATGATCATTTGGTTTTTATTTTTCAGTTTGTTAATGTGCTATATCATATTGATTGATTTGCAAATATTGAGAAATCCTTGCATCCCTGGGATAAATCCCACATGATCCTACTTTTTTAATATAAATTTATTTTTATTTATTTATTTGTTTATGGCTGTGTTGGGTCTTTGTTGCTGCGTGCAGGCTTTCTCTAGTTACGGAGAACGGGGGCTACTCTGCGTTGTGGTGCGTGGGCTTCTCATTGTGGTCGCTTCTGTTGTTGCGGAGCACAGGTTCTAGGCGCACGGACTTCAGTAGTTTTCGCTCACAAGCTCTAGAGCACAGGCTCGGTAGTTGTGGCACATGGGCTTAGTTGCTCCGCAGCATGTGGGATCTTCCCGGACCAGGGCTTGAACCCGTGTCCCCTGCATTGGCAGGTGGATTCTTAACCACTGCGCCACCAGGGAAGTCCCAGGTATGATCCTTTTACTGTATTGTTGGATTCGTTTTGCTAGTATTTTGTTGAGGATGTTTTCATCTATGTTCATCAGTGATATTGGCGTATAATTTTCTTTTTTTGTGATATCTTTGTCTGGTTTTGATATCAGGGTGATGCTGGCCTCATAGTTCAGAATTGTTCCTTCCTCTGCAGTTTTGTGGAATAGTTTGAGGATAGGTGTTAAGTCTCTACATGTTTGTAAAGTTTACCTGTGAAGCCATCTGTTGCTGGACTTTTGTTTGTTGGGAGTTTTAAAATTACTGATTCAATTTCATTACTGGTTATTGGTCTGTTCACATTTTCTATTTCTTCCTGGTTCAGTCTTGGGAGATTGTACCTTTCTAAGAATTTGTCTGTTTCTTCTAGGTTGTCCACTTTATTGGCATATAGCTGTTTGTTGTAGTCTCTTATGATCCTTTGTAGTTCTGTGGTGTCAGTTTTAACTTCTTTTTCGTTTCTGATTATATTGATTTGGGCCCTCTCCCTTTTTTTTCTTGATGAGTCTGCCTAAAGGCTTATCAATTTTGTTTATCTTTTCGAAGAACCAGCTTTTAGTTTCATTGATCTTTTCTATTATTTTTTCAGTCTCTATTTCATTTGTCTAAAACCTATGCGACACATCAAAAGCAGTTCTAAGAGGGAAGTTTGACCTCAGAAAACAAGAAAAATCTCAAATAAACAACCTAACCTTACATCTAAAGGAGGTAGAGAAAGAACAAATGAAACCCAAAGTTAGTAGAAGGAAAGAAATCATAAAGATCAGAGCAGAAGTAAATGAAATAGAGACAATGTTTCTTAAGTAAAACTTTTTCCCAGAGATTTGGTTACCATCCATTTCACATGTGAAATATTTTCTTAACACTAAGTTTATGATTTAATATCTTTGAAAATAGAGGTTTTTGCTTTACTTTTAGATGTTTTGGTGCTTTTAGTAAAGTTTCTCAGGAACTAAAACTAATAACTTACTTGGTAATATCTGCTTTCTAGAGAGCCATTATTGTCTGCAAAATGTTTGTCACCATATTTTCATATTCATATATTTCTGTAGTTTATTACTCTTGCTTTATGACTAACCTGTATCTTCATCTAAGAAGGAACATTTTTTCCTAATGAACTATTAGAAACAATAGCAGTATTAAAAAAATAGGTTTTCCTTTTGTTGTTTTACAGGTTTTTAATGAAGATACTAGATCTTTGGAGATTTCTCAGTCTTACACAACCACACAAAGAGAATTTAGTGATTACAATGCACCTTGCAAAAAGAAGAAAATAGAATTAGGCTGGGAAGTAATAAAAGATCATCTTCAGAAGTCACAGAATGATTTTAACATTGTGCCTTGGTAAAATATTGTTTTTTTCTCTTTCAATATCATTTTAGTCTCATTAATTTTTCTCACAAGACCCCGGTATATTCCTTTACCTCATTGGCCTGGCCAGAACTAGGTCACTCCCAAAGCAATGACTGACAAAGGGGAAGGTGATTACTAGGACATGTGAGATCAACCACTGTGGTTTATCTGCTGGAAGCCAGGAATAGGGCACCTTTCCTAAGCATATTGCCATATCAAGGAAGAAGGAGAATGGCTGCTTGGTAGGCGATCGGTACTGTGTGCCTCGTGGAATTCACTGAGTTGTATACCTCAACACAAAGAAATTTTACCATGCTTGGCACCTTCTAATAGAATTAGATTAGGAAGAAATTAAAGATAGTATTCAGAAATCACAGAATAATTTGGACCTTATGCCATGATAAAGGTTATTTTTTACTATTTGCTTTGTTCTTTTTTTAAAATTTATTTGTTTTTGGTTGTGTTGGGTCTTTGTTGCTGCGCACAGGGTTTTCTCTAGTTGCAGCGAGCGGGGGCTACCCTTCTTTGTGGTGCGTGGGATTCTCATTGCGGTGGCTTCTCTTGTTGTGGAACATGGGCTCTAGGTGCACGGGCTTCAGTAGTTGTGGCACGTGGGCTCAGTAATTGTCGCTCACGGGCTATAGAGCGCAGGCTCAGTAGTTGAGGCACACGGGCTTAGTTGCTCCGTGGCATGTGGGAATCTTCCCAGACTAGGGCTCGAGCCCGTGTCATCTGCGTTGGCAGGCGGATTCTTAACCACTACGCCACCCGGGAAGTTCCATTTGCTCTGTTCTTTAGTCTCATATAGCATTTGCAGTTATTTAAGTAATTAAATAAATTGTGGAATTCTTTGGAATCACAAAATATTAGGTCTGTTAGGAATCTGTAGAATTCATGCAGCTCAGCCTTTTTGCTTTACCAAAAAGACAACTGCAACTGAGAAAGGTTAAGCAGCTTGCGTAAGGACAGTTAGAAATTTGTAGATTACAGTCATACTTTTGTTAACAGTGCTCTTTGATTTTTCCCCTGTTGATGTAATGTTTAAATATAATTGAGTTGTGGAAGGAAATCGTATTGATTTAGATACCTATTGCTAAATTTTCTATAGTTGATGTTGCCAATTTCATATTCTTTAATTTGTCCACTTAGTGAAGTTATTTATTGAACACCTACTATGTGCCAAGCATAAGGGATAGAGGGTGAACAAGATATAGTTCCTATTCTTGAGTAGCACTCATTTTAGAGAACTCGCAGCAAATACTTACTGAATTAACTGAATTAACGTCAAGGGAAAACAGTTTTTGGGGTTTTTTGTTTGTTTTACTGTTCTAGAGGAATATTATTGGTGGCCAAAGAGCAGGGATGTGTGTGATAAGTAAGAAGTAGAATGTTGGTAATTTAGTTATTTAAAGTTACTGTGTAAGCAAAATATGATAGCTTACCCAGCTAGCCTAAATGTTTTCAATCTTCTTGCCACTTTAGGAAGTAGGGCCTAATAAATATTAAGAGCCAGTTTATTATGAGAGTAGTCTGGAAAATGATGATGATAATATTCTAATTAGGATATTATAAGAGTACTATGTCTATATATTTTCTTTTAGCCTCTTAATGGATTTGAATAATTTTCAAATTATTTATACTTTTTTTAGGTTACAGATTACAACTCAATTAATATCAAAATATCCTTCAAGTTTACCTAACTGTGAGTTGTCACCATTACTAATGATACTACACCAGCTTCTACCTCAACAACGACATGGGGAACGCACACCATATGTGTTACGATGCCTTATGGAAGTTGCATTGTGTCAAGGCAAGAAATCAAACCTAGAAAGCTCTCAAAAGTCAGATTTATTGAAACTCTGGATTAAAATTTGGTCTATTACTTTTCGTGGTATAAGTTCTGAACAAATACAAGCTGAAAACTTTGGCTTACTTGGAGCCATAATTCAAGGCAGTTTAGTTGAAGTTGACAGAGAATTCTGGAAGTTATTTACTGGGTCAGCCTGCAGACCTTCATGGTAAGTTGACTATGGATTGTATTCTATTTTGCAACATATATATATATATATATATATATATATATTTTTTTTTTTTTTTTTCCCCCTGAGTTTTGTAATTTCTAACTTCAGTTAAAGATATGTTAAATTCTGTTTCAGATGCTTTAGTTGTTTGTCCGGGAAGTCTTAATAAATAAATAAGTGTAATTTAGTTTCAAATGTGAAGAGATTACTAAGGCCAGTTTTAAAGAATTAAGTGTTTATATTTCTTTTATTTGTAATTGACAATTATTTTTTGTTCAATCTTCATAAACTTTATTTTTTTTTAGTACTGCATACTGTTACAATAAGAGATAGTTCTTAATCAAGAATTTTCTCAAATGTAGTCAGACTTTTTAGAATTTTTTTGTGTTCATTTAGTCCATAGAAGTTTACTAAATGTCTACAGCATGCCAGGCACTGCCCTAAGCATTGGAGGCACAGTGATAAATAAGATAGACAAGGTCTCTGTCCCTGAAAGAGCTTACTTTTTTTTAAATTGAAGTATAGTTGATTTACAATGTTGTGTTAGTTTCTGGTGTACAGCAAAGTGATTCAGTTTTATATATATGTGTGTGTGTGTCTGTGTATATATACACACACTCACACACATATATATATTCTTTTTCATATTCTTTTGCATTATTGTTTATTACAGGATATTGATTACAGTTCCCTGTGCTATACAATAGGACCTTGTTGTTTATCTATTTTACATATAATAGGTTTTTTTTAACATCTTTATTGGAGTATAATTGCTTTACAATGGTGTGTGAGTCTCTGCTTTATAGCGAAGTGAATCAGCTGTACATATACATATATCCCCATATCTCCTCCCTGTTGCGTCTCCCTCCCACCCTCCCTATCCACCCCTCCAGGTGGTCACAAAGCACGGAGCTGATCTCTGTGTGCTATGTGGCTGTTTCCCACTAGCTATCTATTTTACATTGGGTAGTATATATAAGTCCATGCCTCTTTCTCACGTCGTCGCAGCTTACCCTTCCCACTCCCTGTGTCCTCAAGTCCATTCTCTATGTCTGTGTCTTTATTCCTGTCCTGCTCCTAGGTTCTTCATAACCTTTTTTTTTTAGATTCCATATGTATATGTTAGCATATGGTATTTGTTTTTCTCTTTCTGACTTACTTCACTCTGTATGACAGACTCTAGGTCCATCCACCTCACTACAAATAACTCAGTTTGTTTCTTTTTATGGCTGAGTAATATTCCATTGTATATAAGTGCCACATCTTCTTTATCTATTCATCTGTCAGTGGACACTTAGGTTGCTTCCATGTCCTGGCTATTGAAAATAGAGCTGCAGTGAACATTGTGGTACATGACTGTTTTTGAGTTACATATAATAGTTTGTATCTGCTAATCCCAAACTCCTAATTTATCCCTCCCCCACCTCCTTTCCCCTTTGATAACTATAAGTTTGTTTTCTATGCAAAGAGCTTACTTTTAATATTAATTGTCCTTTGTTTTGCTGTAGTCCTGCAGTATGCTGTTTGACTTTGGCACTGACCATCTGTGTAGTTCCAGAAACAGTAAAAACAGGAATGGAGAAGAATATATATGATATAAACAGAAATTTTTCTTTAAAGGAATTGATAATGAAATGGCTCTTATTCCATCAGTTAGAGGATGACTTTGAAGACAATGCAGAGCTGCCTCCAATTCTTCACAGGTAATTTGAGTTCAGTTAGCATGCTGCTGGCTTTTGTTTTGTTTTATAAGGTGCCCTCCATTTCTTGTTTGATATTAGATGGCTTTATTTTACAGTGATCATACAGGATTTCCCAGAATTAGTCCTAGAGATTAAACAGTCCCTTTGTTTTTATAGTGTTCTGTATCTTTGTGCCTGGATCTTTGTCCAAGTTCTTTTACTTTGTTTTCTCTCTCTGCCTAGACAGTGAGAATAAGGGGGATGTGCATGAAGAATATGTATATATTTCTTTGAGCACTTATATGTTCCTTTGTGATCGTCTGTAAATAGGTCCATCTGAACATATATCCAACTCATGTATATCCTGGAATCATAATGAGAGTATCTTCTAGGCGAAATATTTTAATGAGGGGAAGAAATGAGAAAAAGCCAAAATGGGACTTAAGCACTAGGATGGGAGCAGCTTGCCCACTTAACCTATCCACAGTCAGTAAATGGAACTGAGTGATTGGAGGACAGACCTCTGGATCCTAGTGATTTTACTTTAATGCCTTTTTTAAAAAAAATTTTTATTTTTAAAATTTTTTTATTTTTTGGCTGTGTTGGGTCTTTGTTGCTGCGTGTGGGCTTTCGCTAGTTACAGCGAGCAGGGGCTGCTCTTTGTTGTGGTGCATGGGCTTCTCATTGCAGTGGCTTCTCTTTGTGGAGCACAGGCTCTAGGCATGTGGGCTTCAGTAGTTGTAGTATGCGGGCTGTAGAGTGTGCAGGCTTCAGTAGTTGCAGCGCATGGGCTCTAGGGCACATGGGCTTCAGGAGTTGTGGCATGTGGGCTCAGTAGTTGTGGCTCGTGGGCTCTAGAGCACAGGCTCAGTAGTTGTGGCACACGAGCTTAGTTGCTCTGCAGCACATGGGATCTTCCTGGACCAGGGTTTGAACCCATGTCCCCTGCATTGGCAGGCGGATTCTTAACCACTGCACCACCAGGGAAGTCCTACTTTTATTTCATAATTGTTTATGCTCTTTAAAAATTCAGTATGAGCCTGCTTCTAGGAAGTGTTGAAAATGATAGTAACGTGAAATGTATGCTCTTTAAGACCTGTTTTCAGATGTTAAATTCAGTAGAGATGAAAGTAGTTTTAATTTTGGATCCAAATTTTAGAGGTCAATATTTATAGCTAAACCTGGGTGTTTAAGTTTAAGAATGCTTTAAATGGCTTTTGGTCTTCTAAGTAAAGATTTTTATTTTACTTTATAGTAATTTTCCTCATCTTGCCCTGGAGAAAATTCTTGTGAGTCTCACTATGAAAAACTGTAAAGCTGCAATGAATTTTTTCCAAAGTGTGCCAGAATGGTATGTTATCTAATAGAGTTCTGTGTTATTTTAAGATACGGCTTTAATTAACAAAGATAATATTTTAGCAGAGTAGTAGCTACATCTTAAAAATTATGAACTGAATTGGTCAATTAAAAAAATCATAACTGTTAGCAAGGGAAAAGTTTCTTTTAATTCAATAATTATACTTTATATCCTATAGTTTATATTTATGCTGGGATATTAAGAACATAAACATCATGTGGAAATGAGTTCTTTAAAGGTGTGACCCATTTTTATATGTCAAGTAAAATCTGACTCTTCGCTAAAAACTAATGATAATTGAGGATAAGGGAAACAAGAATAAATCTGAAAACCTCATTTTAGTTGATTGACTCAAGAGGCTTATGTTTATCACTGTGACTGAAAATGATTCACTGCCATGAAGATTCCTATTCTTCCTCCAGAGGGCATAAGATGAAAAAAGATCTATATTTTGGAGAAATCGAAGGTGAAAAAAGGGAACTGTTTTCAGATAATGTTATTCTTAGTGTTTATATCTGTTGTTAATTTTTTTTAATACTTTCTGAATTTGCCTTTGAAACTGTAACTTTTATTTTTTTGTTTATTAGTAAAATTTACTACTGAATAATGAAATTCTATACAAGTAATTATCAAAATCCAAAGAAGAGAAGCATTTAAAAGAATAATTCACTAATTGTATAAGCAGTCTTTGAATAATATAGATGCTATTAATGTTTTTATTTGTAATAGATTGCTGCTATATGAAGGTGAAATAATAGATAATTTGATTTTACAAATTAAGAATCTTATTTCTTTGAAGTGAGCAACACCAAAAAGATACAGAAGAACCTTCATTCTCAGAAGTTGAAGAACTATTTCTTCAGACAACTTTTGACAAGATGGATTTTTTAACCATTGTGAAAGAACATACTACAGAAAAGCACCAATCCAGTGTAGGCTTTTCTGTCCACCAAAATCTCAAGCAATCACTGGATCGCTATCTTCTGGGATTGTCAGAACAGCTTCTAAATAATTACTCATCTGAGGTGAGATTTTCAAAACAAACTAAAGCCTATATTTGATTCTACTTTGGTAGACTGTTAGGAAGCTTAATTTTAAAAACAAAGTAGTAGCACATGGCTATATATAGGGAAAATTCAGCATGAAAAAAGGAAAACTGAAGAAAAACAATTTGACTATTTTCTTTTACCAGGAATTCTCATAGACATTAAAGAAGTAGAATTCTTTGTGTGAGTTGATGAGTAGTAATAAAGGTTTTGAGCATAGTGATTGTTTGATGAAAAAGAACCTCAATACAGAGGAGGGAAATATTACAATAACAGAAAATGACATAATATAAACTGATCTGATAGATTTTGGTTGCACTTGAAGAGGGAGAAGTCATTAATAAATGAACTAGCAGTCACCCATATTTTAGAGGTCCTTTAGTAATGTCTCACATATCATTTCCTTTGTCCTCTTAAAATCACAAATTCTCTTCGTGTGTGCTGTTCTCTTGCCAAAACTCCTGTGTCTTTCTACCCATTTCTATGTGTTCAGATAATCCATATGTCAAAATCCTTGCTAAAGCCTTTCTTAGATAATCTCAGCCGTACATCTTTTAATTTTAATAGTACTTAATATTTCTTTTTCTTTTTTTTTTTTTTGTGGTATGCGGGCCTCTCACTGTTGTGGCCTCTCCCATTGCGGAGCACAGGCTCCGGACGCGCAGGCTCAGCGGCCATGGCTCATGGGCCCAGCCACTCTGCGGCATGTGGGATCTTCCCAGACCGGGGCACGAACCCATGTCGCCTGCATCGGCAGGCGGACTCTCAACCACTGCGCCACCAGGGAAGCCCAATATTTCTATTTTTAAATGACACTTAGCATCTTCTTTGTACCATATACACAAATATCTCTTAAACTATGCTAGAAGCTCATTAAAAGGCATATATAATTTTTATTAATCTTTGTATCTTCTGCAGTGCTTAGTTATATGATAAATGATAAAATATTTGTTGACTAAAATAAAACCTACAAGCTACTCAAAGGGGTTGATTCAGTAGCCATAATTAATGATACAAACAGCCAGAGAAGAGACAGTGTGCCTATTTGCTCTATCTTGCCCCTATTACTGACTTACTTCTGGATTATAGTTGTAACCATTTTCATTACAAAGTAATGAGATCTTCCGTGTTTTCCCCTAAAATGATATTTCATACGATATAGGAACAGAAAAATCTGAAAATTTTATTTTTCTGTGTAACCTTTGCACATTCTTACATAATTCTATAAAATTGGTTAAGCAGTATCTACTGGCAAAAATGCCTTGTGCTAGTCTGTGGAGTGTAAAGAGCTGAATAAATCAAGGTTCTTATTTCTTAGAAGCTCAAAACGTCATTTTAATGTCTCTTATTATGAATCTAACTTCTACTCATGTTCTAAGAGTTACAGACATTTATTTGCCTATCAGTTTTTTTTCTTTCTTTTCTCCTTACCTCAGATATTTAAGGGCTTGTGTGTGTAGTACATTAAGCCACTTTAAGAAGAGATATATTACTTGGCCATTAGGACATACTACTTCTGTTTTTCCTGAGAACCCTGGTTATCACAACTCTGCAGGGATCCCTCAGATGGTTTTAGAGATGATCAGAATTATGCCACTATTAATTCAATTAACTGAACTTTTGTTTTTTAATATGTACATAAAATTTGCTCTTACAAAAGATAATAGTACTCGAAATGATTTACAAAATATAAAAATTTTTTATTTGGGTTTTACTTTAAGACTTCAAATTCAGAAACGCTTGTCCGGTGTTCAAGTCTTTTGGTGGGTGTTCTCGGCTGCTATTGTTATGTGGGTGTAATAGCTGAAGAGGAAGCATACAAATCAGAATTATTCCAGAAAGCCAAGGTAGGAAGATTTATGTCAATAATGTTTTGGATTAATTTGAATGAAATATATTCCTGGGAAAACTGGTATATTTGTTTGGAAAACAAATTTTTATGTAGGTTAGCTCTTTCTTTTTCATTTATGCAGTCTGAGAAGAAATGATAATTGTATCTCCTTCCTTAAATTTGAAATTATTTTAAGCCAGCTATAAATACAGTAATTGAAATTATATCACATTAAAATTTGATCTCATTAACAAAAGTACTGGTGTTTATCTGTACTTTAAAAATTTTTTCCCGGATCAATTATCCTAAAGAATTTTTAACCAGGAGTGTTAATCTAGTAGGCCCTAACCATGAAACTGACTTTTATCTCTGGGTGCTGTTCTGTCAGTTGTGTGATTTGTAAGGATAACAGGTATAAGATTTGTTGTTTTTAAAAATTTGTTCATTTTTAATTATCTTTTGTAACCAAGTATAACTTCTTAAAATGATTACTTTTACTTCTTAAGTAAAACAAAAAAGCAATCAATCAGCTATGATTTTAACTGAAATTTGGATTTTTCCTCCTTTTTTTTTAATAGTCTCTAATGCAGTATGCAGGAGAAAGTATCACTTTGTTTAAAAATAAGACAAATGAAGAATCTAGAATTGTTTCACTGAGAAATATGATGCATCTATGTACATGTTGCTTACATAACTGTACCAAGGTAAGATGTTCCTACTTGACAGCATAGCCTACCTAGGAGGATGATAACTGGTTGGTGCTGTTACTATTTTTTGGGTCCATTCATAAGTTGATACACTGATTTTAAATTAAATTGGTAAATTAAGGTAGTATCCAGAGGAAAAAAGCAACAGGTAATATGAGTTTCTCATGAAACTAACTGCACGAAACTAACCTTCTCAGGAAAGTTTCTGAGATTATTTTACCCCTTTAATATACAACTGATTGGTGACTCTTTTATTGCCAGTGTATTTTCATTTATTTAGTAAAATCTTGTTGACTACTAAGTATGTGATGTGCATACCAGTACGCGAGGGCTAGTGGGCACTGCAAAGATAAACAGTTCTAGCACATACATTACTCTCTTTTGCCCAGGTAGTCTTACATAGCATTTGGTAGAAAGGGTGCTACTGTGTGTAATCTTTGTTTTGATTTGGAGCAGGCCTGAGGGGTAGCTGAGCCAAACCAGAGTATTGATAATAACTAGAAACACTTTTTAAAGCTAATGTTAAGTACATGGCCATATATCAATATTATCAGCATGTATTTTTGGATTTTTAATGTGTTTTTTTGTGTTTTGGTATAAGTGGGGAAGGAGAGAGTGGATGAATAAACTCTAAGCTATGATTATTGCTTGCTTATGTTTAGGGGCAGTAGCTGGTATTTTACTTTAATGTTATTTATGCTCAATGAAAGATATTTGCTATAGTTATTATTACTTTAAGAAAAGAGGTTTGTATGTTTGAAGCAATTCATATCTTGCTCCTAATAGTAAACTCTTTATCCATGCTTATTCTGATAATTTCCAGTGTAAAATAAAATCTGCATTTCATTCAAGATAGAGAAAATATTATCTGCAAAGAATAATTGTTTGTTTTTATTTCTTTGTTTGCTTGGTGTTTTGTTTGTCTTAATTACAGCACAGTCCAAATAAGATTGCATCTGGCTTCTTCCTGCGATTATTAACATCAAAGCTAATGAATGATATTGCAGATATTTGTACAAGTTTAGTAAGTATGCTTCCTATTTTACTACCATATTTCATTGATTCTAAGATGCTTTTTATAACTTTGAAATCTCTCTTGAAAAGGGATGCATCTCACAGAATATGGTATGTTATATTTTTAAAATGTGGAAATTAAATAAAGTTATTTGGTTTGCAGGGGGCAATGTATTTGATTGCTTCTTAATATCAATACCTAGCATAGTGCTTGGCTGTTAATTTCTCAATAAATAATAATAGACCAAGTGATTGGGAACTAATCATCCGGACTCAGTACCTTTTTCTATATGACATCGTACCAAAATTCAAAATAATTCTCTATTCTTAAAAATAAAAACAAAAACCTTGCCAGACAAGCAACATATTCTTATCGTAATATTTATATTTCTTTTTCCATATAAATGGGCTTACATACTTTTTTGTCTGGAACAGTGCCTGGCACATAGTAGATATTCAAATATTTAATGAGTGAAAGAATGTTCTGTAACTTGAGTGTTTTCATTTAATAATAAATCTTGGTCATTTTTCCATGTTGCTACTACATAGGGATATACCTATGTAGACTTTTTTTGGGGGGGCAGTATTTCATTATATATGGGAATAGTATATATGTATTTTAACCCAACTAATCTTAATTAAAATTTAAAATTTTTTTTTTTTACAAAGAGTTCTGCAGTAAATTTCTTATACTTTCATCTCCTTCTATTTGTGCCTATGAAGGATGTAGGATAAATTCTAGAAGTGAAATTGCTTGTTCAAAAGGAATGTAAATTTTACTTTTCGATGGATAATGTTATTGTCCTCCAAAATAGTCTTACCAATTTATAATTTTACCTACACCCTCATCAATTTGGGGTAGTATGAAACTTCTTAATATAAGAAATCATTTGTAAAGATTGTGTATTATTCTGCTGTGTAGACAATACAGTTTATATATCTGTTTTCCTGTTGCAGGACATTTAATAGAAATAATACTGCAGGGTTTCATACACTTGAATCTTGAATTGTTTGATTAGGTCAGTTTTAACAACAGCATGCTTCTGAAAGAAGCCAACTTGGAACGTCTTTCTTTCTCTGATTTGAAGGTATCCATTATCAAAAAGCCATTTGACTTTGGAGAAGTAGAATCAGTGGAAGATGGTACTGATGAAAATCTAATGGAGATGGAGGATCAGTCATCCATGAATCTATTTAATGATTACCCGGCTAGTAGTGTTATTGATGCAAATGAATCTGGAGAGAGCCAAATTACTATTGGTAAATATATTTTTACTGCATGGGATTTTTTTTTACCTCTTTACATTGATTTGGTATTATGAAAGGCCTCATAGATACTAATTTTATGTGCATTTTATTTCCTTTTTGTATAGTCTATTGGGATTGTTCACCTCTATACATTTTAGAATTCCCTGATTTTTAATTGAATTTATTAGTTTCCTATTTTATTCTTCATGGGGGAATTTAAAATAATTATTAAATAAATAAAAACATATAATAGGTTATTTGGAAAATAGAAAGCAGGATAGTGCAAGAGCACCCATAATGCCATCATTGTTTACCTTTTTCTGTTATTCTACATAGACCCTTTCAAAATTATAATCAGCATTAACATTCAAATGCCTTTTTATACCTTGTCTATTTTCTTTCAACATTAACTGTAAGCATTTTTTTCATTTAGGTACTTGTGATATTGATAATCATACTTTTTAATGGCTCTATAATATCCCAATTAACATACATACCATAATTTACTAGAGCACTTTTTTTTTAAACTTATTTATTTTTTTTTTTTTGGCTGGGTTGGGTCATAGTTGCAGCACGCGGGATCTTTGTTGCGGCATATGGGATCTTTCATTGTGGTGTGGGCTCTTCTTTTTTTTTTTTTTTTTTTTTTTTTTTTGCCTTACGCGGGACACAGGCTCTGGACGCGCAGGCTCAGCGGCCATGGCTCACGGGCCCAGCCGCTCTGCGGCATATGGAATCCTCCCGGACCGGGGCACGAACCCGTGTCCCCTGCATCAGCAGGCGGACTCTCAACCACTGTGCCACCAGGGAAGCCCCATGGTGTGGGCTCTTTGTTGCGGCGCGCGGGCTTCTCTCTAGTTATGCAAGAGCTCCAGAGCGTGTGGGCTCTGTAGTTTTGACGTGTGGGCTCCAGAGCATGTGGGCTCTGTAGTTTGCGGCACGTGGGCTCTCTAGTTGAGATGTGTGGGCTTAGTTGCCCCATGGCATGTGGGATCTTAGTTCCCCGACCAGGGATCGAACTGGCTTCCCCTGAATTGGAAGGTGGATTCTTAACCACTGGACCACTTCTTTATTGTCAGAAATTTAGATTCCTTTCTAACAGTATTGCAGTGAATATTTGTCTATATAGATTTTTCCATAGATTATTTATTGATGACAGAATCCTAGGGTAACCTTTTATGAAGAATTTTGAAGCTTTTAGTGTGTAATCAATTTCATCATAATTTTGCTTTCCATATATTTTTATCTCTTTTTTTTTGTTGTTCAAGGGGAAGATATTTATGTTAATATTCAATGTATGTATTTGTTGCACACCTCTGTTAGTCTTAATAAGTGCTTTTTATTTTTAGGTGCCATGAATCCTTTAGCTGAAGAACATCTGTCAAAGCAAGATCTGCTTTTTTTAGACATGCTCAAGTTCTTGTGTATGTGTGTAACCACTGCTCAGACCAATACTGTATCATTTAGAGCAGCTGACATTCGAAGGAAATTGTTAATGTTAATTGATTCTAGCATGCTAGACCTTACCAAATCTCTCCATCTACACATGGTGAGTTCAGTGAAATGAAGAAGTGCTTCATTTGTGTCTGATGTTGCTAGCTAAATGTAATGGACTGACATATTAGAATCTTATAGTACCTTTGAAGACTTGAAATTGCTTCCTTGAGAAATGAATCTGAGACTAGTTATAAAATACACTTTTCTTCTAATATACTGTGAAAAAAATTTAAGTGGATACTGAAACATTAAAACTTGGATGGACTTGGATAGATTTATTCTCTTTGGGTGTAATTATTATTATTTTAAAGTAGGCCAAGAGCCACAGACTCTGAATGTAAAAATAATACTCATATAGCATTGTTGTTGAAGTCTGAATCTTGCCTTGACCTTGGTTTATATGCTTTAAAATTTTTAAATGTAATTTCAAAGTGACTGTAAAGTTAAAATACTACAAAACTCCCATATTTCCTTCATAAACCTCTGTAGTTAACATTTTACCACATTTGACTTATCATTCTCTCTCTTTGCACACTACACACACACAAACACACACAAGCACACACTTTTTTTCTGAACCATTTCAAGATTAAATATTCAGACGTGATGCCCCTTTACTTCAGTGTGTATTTCCTAAAAACAGTGATACTCTCCTATATAACCATAGTATAATCATCAGGAAATCAACATTGTATCATTGAATTTACTTGTCAGGTCTGTTCAGTTTTTTTCAGTGTGGAACAGTTCCTTTGTCTTTCCTTATCTTTCACGACCTTCATATTTTTGAATAGTACAGCCACCTGCTGTATGGAATCTGTCGCTTTGAGTTTATCTCATGTTTCCTCGTGATTAGATTTAGACTTAACAAAAGTAATCTCTCTCCTTCCCTTCTCTCATCACTTTACTCATCTACTGATAGATATCTCCAATTCCAATCTAACATCATAGGATTTATTTTCTGTGTCCATATTTGTAGCTCCCTTTTCCAACAGTAAGAAACCAGGCTTCCTACTTAACCTCAGTGCATTTACTTGTTTACTCAATATTATTACATGTAACTTATCTCCCAACCATGTGGGCCATACCCTTAGCCCCAGTGCTGGTGAACATGTGGGGAGAGCTCCTGTCTCAGCAGATATCCTGGATGAGTCCATGGTCATATCTTAGTCCCAGCAAATTGGCAAACATGGCAAGTGATTTCCCCAGCCCTGGGAAACATGCCAAGTTATTCCCTAATTAGAACCTCTTGGAAACATTCAGGTTGAGTCCCTGGTAGAATTCCTTGTCATGTTCTAGCTGTGGTAAACGTTCTGGTTGATCCCCTAGCCCCGGCAAATATGCTTATTTGAGCCCTATTTGATTCCCTGGTTTCAACCCTGGCAAATACTCTAGTCAAGTCTCTAGCCCCAACCAGTGGGGAGGGCTGTATGCTTTTCTTGGGACTTTGATGTTCAAAGTCACTTCAAGACACTTAGTAACATCACACATGGCAAATATTTAAAATGGTCCAATTTAATGTTCTTTTATAGTATCAGAAGGAGTAAGAAACAATTTTCTACATACAGATGATAGGAAAAAAATGCCTTCTGATTCTTAATACAGCTAGAAAATTATTTGTCAGCTGTCAGAAACTGGCTGCCTCGTTATAACTACCAGCTATAACAACCGGTAGTTGCTGAGTAGCCCTTTATATCCATCGTTCCATAGAGAGCCTTACAAGGTTGCCTTATAGGAGGATAAGTCAGGGTATTTGGATTCTTCACTGCCCATAATTATCTCTGCTTTCCAGAATTCATTAATAGAATAGTGTTTAACCATTGAAGTTATCCCCAAGCATTGTTTTCGGAGGGTGGTGACATAATATAGTTTCAGACTCTTGCTCAGGCACTTAACTCCAACAGTGATAACACTGTCACTTACTGAATTCCTACAATAAATGCTAGACCTTTACATTCATTTCCTTTAATCTTCACAGTAATCTGGCCAGGTAAGTGCTATATCCTCATTTTAAAGCTGGGAGTACAAAGACTCAGATGACAAGGCAAGTTTTTAAAGCACTCAGGTAGTAACAGGTTATGGTACGGGGATTTGAATCCAGCTCTGTTTGACTTCAAAACACCCCTGCCTCCCCCTTTTTTAAAATTATATTGCTTCATAAAAATTCACTGCTCGTGTGTGTGTGTGTATGCACATGTGTTTATATATGAATTTATGGTTACATATATGTACTTATTTAAATAAATGATATATGAAAAAACAACAACAACTAATTTCCCCCACCCAACTATCTTAGTATCTAGTGCTTTTAAAGGACCTTCCTGGAGAAGAATATCCCTTGCCAATGGAAGATGTTGTTGAACTTCTAAAACCGCTATCGTAAGACATTAAAACCATATAAAATATTCACTCTAAATTTGTAGATTAAACTGGTGTGTTCTGTTATGCTGATAAAGTTAAATTTTTTTCCATCACAGCAATGTGTGTTCTTTGTATCGCCGTGACCAAGATGTTTGTAAAACCATTTTAAACCATGTCCTTCACATAGTGACGAACCTATGTCAAGGAAATATGGATGCTGAGAACACAAGGGATGCTCAAGGACAGTTTCTAACAGTGATTGAAGCATTTTGGTGGGTATAGACATTTTGTGGAGTTACTTTTCTTTTGCCACTTCTGCATACAAATGCAAACTTTGCATTTCTTCTAATCCTCGAATGTAACTATATACATCTTTTAACAATAGTGACATGTAATTTGTGTTTCCCTCCTTAATTGCTTGAAGAACTGAATTGTTTTCTGCTTAAGACTTGGCTTCCTAAAGTGGTTTTAGTGTATTTCCCTGCGAATTTTGAATCTCTTACTAGTTTGACATATATGATGAATAAAGCAAAGTGCAACAAGTCTAAATCAATTGAGTAGTTTATATTCCTAAAGTGGACAAATTGGCCTTGTCATTCTCTGGTTATTTCATGCATATAGTCATAGTGTGAGTTAATACCAAGACACCTATAGAGGAGCACATATATGTAATTTAGAGCCCTCCTACCATTTGGTGGGCAAGGACTTCTGAGTCAGTATAGAATGTCGTTTTTAAGTCTTTGATATAACAACACAGCAACTTTAAAAATGTTTTCCTTTTAAAGCAAGTTTTCTATAACATGGTTAGCTGAAGTGGAATAGCCCCAAAATGAGGCATAATCATGTGACACAAATAACATACATTAAAATGAACTTTTCAAACCAATTTATTTTAGCTGGAATTTTTGGAAGGTGAGAATATTGGCATATGCCACATAGTGAGAATTAAATTTAGCATGGAAAGAAATTTTGGAAGCAGCCTAGAATAACCTTAATGTCCAGTGATTTTTTTTTTTTACTGTGCTTTTATTGGAATAATTACTTGATATTAAGACACATACTTTATTTCAGGCACTTAACAAAGGAGGGAAAATGCACATTCTCTGTAAGAGTGGCACTAGTAAAATGCCTTAAAACTTTGCTTGAGGTGAGTTATTCTATTTCAGTTATTAGTATGGTCTCCATTGGCATTTTTAAAGCAGTCTTTGTTTCTGTTTGTTAATGGGTGATTTTTCCTTAGTATTTCACATTTAACCTCAGTTGTTCTTTTCCCATAGGCTGATCCTTATTCAAAATGGGCTATTCTGAATGTAATGGGAAAAGACTTTCCTGTAAATGAAGTATTTCCACAGTTTCTTGCTGATAATCATCACCAAGTTCGCATGTTGGCTGCACAGTCAATCAATAGGTAATGGGTCAAGTATTCATGAAGTGTCTGGAGTGCTGCAGATAGCAATTCAATGTGCAGGACAGTCATAGTTCACTAGTTGTGATATTAAAAATAGTTAACGTTTACTGAGCATATATTGTATGCCTGGCATTTATGTTTTCTCTTAATTCTGACAACTGTATCACTTTGATACTATTATTTTCTCCAATTTATTAATGAAAACTGTGGCTTAGACAGATAAAGTAATTTGCTCAGTGCCATACAGCTAGTAAGTGGTTGAGTTGAATTAGGTGTGTCTACTCCCACTTACAAGAGATATAGGATGTTTGGATATTACTGAGATTTTATATGAGTTTGTAAAATGAAAATTAGCACATTTTACATTGTGCTAATTACAATCATATTTATTCAAGTGAACATAGAGTTAGACATTGGAGTGTTTCTCTCACAGGGATGTGTTTTATGTTTGAGTACCTGAAGAAGCAAATATTAATTTTTCAACAACTGCATGTTTATCAGGTTATCAACTTGATTTTAAAACTCTAAATTATAACCTACCTCTGCCTCTCCTACCTCACACTCCTGTAAATAAAGCACCTCTCTGCTTTATTTTTCTCTGTAGCATTTATCACCAGTTGAAATAATTGTATTTTAGCACATTTACCTAGGATATAAGCTCCTAGAGGGCATTGATTTTTCTCTTTTCTTGTATATTTAGTACCTAGAATAATACTTGGAATGTGCCAGTTGTTTAATAATTTGTAAAATCAATGAACATTTGAAAAAAAATTACATTATGCTTTAAAAACATCAAAGCTGAAAATCATTTAAGTAATTTTACTGTTCAAATGTAAGTGACCAATAATTAAAGAATGCTATAAAGAACTTGCCCAGCAGTCACATAAATACATGTGTTAGATGTGTCCAAAATTTGGATATGCTGACAATATTTTTTTTTAACATCTTTATTGGAGTATAATTGCTTTACAATGTTGTGTTAGTTTCTGACAACAATGTTTTCATAAGTCAGTCGTGTCTGGTAAAGTAAGCTCAGGCTTAGGACTGTTTTTAATAAAAACCATAGAGCATTGTAAGGTTTGCTAATGAATGTGTGCTTACTTCAAGTGCTTAAAAAAGATAGAAAATATATACTAAAGTTAAAGATCTGGGGTTACAGAGGATCATAAGTTGAATATAATAAAGCAAGGTAGTGGTGGCATTAAAAAAATCTCTTTAAGATTCAAAAATGTATAAATTCATGAGTGACATGAGCATAGCATTTATTTATTGGTTGTTTACTTGTTAGATATCTAATATTAGACTATTTAAGAGAGATTAGAGAAACTGAAGGAGTCAGAGGAACACCAAAAAAGTTGATACTTCCATAAATTTTGATTAGTAAAAAAGGGTAAAGGACAAAATTGGTTAAAGAGTTGTCCTTAAATATGATTGTACATTGTGCAAAAAGCTGATCAGCTTTTCTCTATCACATAAAATTTTTGTAATGGAATATCAAGACAGTAAAGCTATCCACTTTTAAGTTGTGATTAAATATTAGAGCAGGTTGATGTAAGAGTCTGTGGCTGCTTCTAATTGATATTTGACCAGAGGACAATTTTTCTTTTCTGGTTAGTTAGAGTTAAGGGATATTCAGGTTTGGGCAATAATCTAAAAGGTCTGTTGAGACCCTTTTCAGTTCTAGGAGAAAATGGAGTATATGGTAAAGACCCTAATATTAAGCAGTAGATTTGAACCTCTTTAAATAGACTCACATTTCCTTGGTCTTTTGAAAGAAAATCTAATATGTTAGTATGTCTCACAGAGTGATTTATTTTTGCCCTGTAAATATGCTTTGGAAAGTATGGTTTATATTTCACTTTTTGCTTTTTTTTTTTTTTTAAGATTATTTCAGCATATGAAAAAAGGAGGTCCTTCCACATTATTGAAAGCACTTCCTTTGAAGCTTCAGCAAGCAGCATTTGAAAATTCATACTTGAAAGCTCAGGAAGGAATGAGAGAAGTGGTAATTTTAGTAATGCTTATTTGCTGTTATCATATGCTTTCTATAAATATGCCACATATTACTTTACCAAGTTTGGCCTAAGACAGTATATATCCAGTAGTTCACAATATAAATTTAGACTAGAACAGCTATATGAATTTATTGAAATTACTTTATTTATAGGTCAGAATTGGTTGAATAATGACAGTTTCTTTTGGTTCAACTTATATGCAGCATTTTTGTAGGAAAAACAGAATTTACTGAGTTTTTATAGGAGTATAAATGGCTTATTTTTTAATTAAAAACTATATTTTGGTAAGATCTGATTAAAAGCTAATTCACAGAACAGGTGACAAGAGGAAGAAATGGATTGAGGAAAAATGTTCTAATTGGGAAGATCAAATTATCTTTGTGCTCCTTAATGAACCTTATGATTTTCATATTTTTCTGTAGATAATATTTTTCTTAAAATGGCAAAAATTGTCTTAGTGGTAGAATTTATTCATTTATCTATGCCTTGATTTGTTTATTAAAAGTGTGTGAAGCAGTTAGTCAAATGACTATATATTCTGTAACAGCACCAAACTGAAAAGGAAAGTTGCATGAAAGAATGTGAATTTAGAAAAAGGTTTCAATAGATTGGAAAAATGAGTGTAAATAATACTCATTTAAAATTTACTAGAAATAACATATTATATATTTTAAAATCAGCCTGTCATGTGCAAAAAGGGAGAATACTGACCTGACAGTTAATTTGGAGAAAGATCTAAGAAGTTTTACATCTTGAGAGCATAATATGAATCAACATTGTTATCAAAAAAAACCAAATTCTGTCTTAGATGTCATTAATAGAAGCAGACTGTAATGAACAAGTTTATAGAAAGAACTTGAATCTTGTATTCATTTTTTTTTAACATCTTTATTGGAGTATAATTGCTTTACAATGGTGTGTTAGTTTCTGCTGCATAACAAAGTGAATCAGCTTTACATATACATATATCCCCATATCTCCTCCCTCTTGATAGCATGTTGGGTTTAGTTCCCAGTAAAACTGAATTTTTAACTATTGCTAGAATGTTAGAGAGTCTGAATATTAGAGAGTCTGTAGATCTGTCTTTTATAAGGAATAGGTAAAGGAGTTGACTTAGTGGGAACCTCATAGCTATTTTCAAACATGTCAGTGATTGCCATTTAGTAAAGGAATTAGGTCCTTCCTTTTTTTTGTACCAAAAATAGCAATAGGATCAGTGACTAGCAGTTTTTTCCAAATGTGAAGAGAAACTTCTACCAAGTATAGCAAGTCAAAAAATGTACATGTCTGTTGGAAAAATGATTGGTTGTTAAACTAGAAGCATATATCATTCTATCTAGTTGCATGAATTTATTGGTCTTTTTAGTAATATATATGATAATATTTTTAAAGAATAAAGAGCTATATATTAAGTTATAATGGTAAACATCTTAGGAGGTAATACTTGGTAGTTGAAGAGCTTTTAGTCTCTCACTTTCCTGCAATTTCTTTCTTTCTCTTTTTTTTTCTTTAAAGTGCTTTATACCCATTGAAATGTTTGGCAATTCTTTCTATAAGATCTTATCAAAAGCAGTCTTTCCCTCTGTGGAAACTGTGGTCCTTTCTGATAATATCTCTTCTTAGCCCCATCACTATAGGATTTAAAACTGTTCACGGGCTGCTTAGATGTTGTCGTGGTGTACTCTGGTTTTAGTCTGGTTGGTTTATTTGTAATATTTAAATATTAACATTGCATATTGTTTTTAAAATTATTCCGAAGTCCCACAGAGCTGAAAACTCTGAAATTTTGGATGAGCTTTGTAATAGAAAGGCCATTTTACTGATGATGATAGCTGTGGTGTTATACTATAGCCCTGTATGTGAAAAACAGGCTTTATTCGCCCTATGCAAGTCTGTGAAAGAGAATGGATTAGAGCCTCACCTCATTAAAAAGGTAACTGTGGATTAATATTTTTTATTATAATCTTCCTTGGGTAACTTTTAAACAATTAAGGTTAAAGCTAGATTTTTAATGTGGCATTTATTAAAGACTTAGAGGCAGTTTTATTTTTTAGATTTGGAATATTAGAAAGCAGTAACTTTTAAAATAGTGTATTTATTTGTATACAGTGTCATTTTTTACATTAAGTTTAAGAGCATTTTACAAGGCAGTTATTGAACTAACGAGAGTAAGTGACCTATCATATGCAGACCAGGCCCTCTGGAATAGTATTTATTGGGGGAAGCGGAGAAAAAAGGAGTAGTACGTGTTTTGCCTAGTGGATTCTGGAGCAGGACATTGGGATCTAGCGGGGCCAGGAGTCAAATTTTAGAGCTATAAAGCTTTTAAGTTGCATGATTAGGAAGACCAGGGTCCAACACATTGTTGTAGAATGCTTACTCCTGCCCCTGTTCCAACACCTCAGCATTAATGGTTTGGGAGGTTCCAAGCCTTTACATCCTAGATTTTTACATGATGAACCAGTGATAGATCATGGCTTGATATAACTAGCATGGTTTCCAGTGGAGCTTTACAATAGGCCAACCTATAAGTAATCAGTCTAGATAGTAAAACTTTTACCTTTCAGTATTAAAGTAAGAGGTTACTTTAAAAAAAAATTATACAGTTACACTACCTAATTATTATTGTACGTGGAATATAGTGTTTGGATTTTTCTCATTTGGGTTTAGGACTGAGAAGAATTGTTTTACTTTATAATGAAATATAATCAAATCTTGAAAATTGAAACATTTTTCTGTTTTTATTCATTTAACATTTATTGAGGGTTTGCAGTGTACCAGGCACTGAGTAATTATATTAAATACATTTTTCTTGTTGAATTTTGCTGAAGTGGGTTCTTTATTATCTCCATTTCATAGATGAGTGAATCAAGGAATAGAAAAGTTAAATGAATACTTAAAGTCATACTGTAAATAAATATTAAGGATTTAAATGATTTATTATTTCATTATTTTCTTAAAACATTGACTTCTTTTTTGATTTGTATAGGTTTTACAGAAAGTTTCTGAAACTTTTGGATATAGACATTTAGAAGACTTCATGGCTTCTCATTTGGATTATCTGGTACTGCAATGGCTAAATCTTCAAGATACTGAATACAGCTTATCTTCTTTTCCTTTTACTTTATTAAACTACACAAACATTGAAGATTTCTACAGGTAGGTTTACATCTGTCACATGTGAAATATATTTAATTTAAAATTAGGTATTAATCATGATGTGAGTGTCGCAGCGTTTTTTAATGGAAATGTATTGAAGTGGACTTAGGATCTGGTCCTAGCTGTGTCAGTAGCCAGCTACATGACTTCAGGCAAGCCACATGAACACCTTCTGGGACTTGATTTCTTAATCTTTTTCTTTTTTTTTTTTGCGGTACACGGGCCTCTCACTGTTGTGGCCTCTCCCGTTGCGGAGCACAGGCTCCGGATGCGCAGGCTCAGCGGCCATGGCTCACGGGCCCAGCCGCTCCGTGGCCTGTGGGATCTGCCCGGACCGGGGCACGAACCTGTGTCCCCTGCATCGGCAGGCGGACTCTCAACCACTGCACCACCAGGGAAGCCCGGTTTCTTAATCTTTAAAGTAAGGGAGTTACATATAGAGATCATTAAGGTCTCTTTCAGCTTTAATATTTAATAATCTTCCCTATGAAAAATCAAAGGTAAATTATTAGTGGCTGATTATTTCAGCCTTATTTTTCTTATTTGTTGTTTAACTGTGGGCCATTTAGTCATTATTTCTGTTTGATTTAAAGTTTAATGTACAAGTATTTATTTTGCTAACTCCAAGTCTGGAGAAGAAAATTTTGAAAATGGAGAGATTTGAAACAACTAAATAATAATGTTTAGGTATCAGGATGATGGGAAGGCAATTCGTAATTGTTTAGTGGTCCTTACTGTTTGTTCATTTTGGCAATAATAATATTTACATTTATTCTTCGAATTTATTAATTGCTTTCACTTTACAATAATTTTGCATAAATTGATTATGCGGAATAAATAAATTCAATTTTCACTTGTTTTTGATCACACTATTAGGGTGATCTCTTTTTTTTAGCGTTACTATTTAGAATTCACTTCACTTCTCCATTTCTAAAATTAGAGTAAGGGTGCTTAATGATCTAGATACAGTGATGCTCTAATGCTTATTAAACCATTTTATTTTTTTATTTTTATTTTTATTTTTTTTTGGCTGTGCCACACAGCTTGAGGGATCTTAATTCCCTGACCAGGGATCAAATCCATGGTGGAAACATGGAGTCCTAACCACTGGACTGCCAGGGAATTCCCAAAACCAGTTTATTATTTTAAGGACTATATTATAAAATTTTACTTTGAAACATTATATTTTAATGTATATTAAAAATGTATATACTTTAATATACATTGTTATTTTTATATTTTTAGGTCTTGTTATAAAGTTTTGATTCCACATCTGGTGATTAGAAGTCATTTTGATGAGGTAAAGTCCATTGCTAATCAGATTCAAAAGGATTGGAAAAGTCTTCTGATAGACTGCTTTCCAAAGATTATTGTAAATATTCTTCCATACTTCGCTTATGAGGATACAGGAGACAGTGGGATGGCACAGCAAAGAAAGATTGCTACCAAAGTCTATGATATGCTTAAAGATGAAAACTTATTAGGAAAACAGGTATGACTTCAACATCTGCTGTACTTTTTATCCCCTAATTGATCTGAGGTGTAACTTTAAAACTTTAAGGCTATTTATTCATGATTTATACAATTAAATTTAATACTATGTGATAATCACTATCTAACATAGGCAGTCCATTAATTTTTTGTTATTGTTGTACAATGTTCTCTCCTTTTGATTAGCTTTGAAATGAAATGTTTTTAATCAGAAATTTTTTTAAAAGTTTGGAATAATTTTATCACTTTTTCTTTTAAAATTTTGTTTTAATTGGCAGTAATACATTAATGCAAGCTGGTTGTTAAATTCAAACAATACTGAACAAGGTATAGAAAATCTTTTTCACTTCCTCTTTAATCTCATTAAGCCCTTCACTTTTCATGGAAAAGTACATCCCAAGTTACCATATCCTGTTTTTTTCCATGACATTTACTACCTTCTAACATATGATGTAACTTACTTATGAATTATGTTCATTGGTTTTTATCAATCTTCTCCACTATAAGTACTGTGAAGGTAGGATTGTTTTCTTTCTTCTTTTTTGCAGTTGTATCCCAACTATCTAGTATATATTGAGTACTCATTATTTGATGAAAGATGGAGTAAAGTTAAAAAGGAACTAACAATTTCTGTTTATTTTTATTTTTGGTTGTGTTGGCTCTTCTTATCTGTGCATGGGCTTTCTCTAGTTGCGGCAAGCGGGGGCCACTCTTCATCGTGGTGCGCGGGCCTCTCACTGTTACAGCCTCTCATTGCGGAGCCCAAGCTCCAGACGCGCAGGCTCAGTAGTTGTGGCTCACGGGCCTAGTTGCTCCGCGGCATGTGGGATCCTCCCAGACCAGGGCTCGAACCCGTGTCCCCAGCATTGGCAGGCGGATTCTCAACCACTGCACTACTAGGGAAGCCCTTCTGTTTGTTTTGTAGTAATTTATATATATATAAAATTATTTGAGGCAACTTATATTAAAATACATATGGAAACTTTTTAAGGTAAAAGAGGATTGGTCACTCCAATTTTTTTTTTAATGTGAGTAAGGGATGACTAACCAAGCTTGGTCAACATTAGTATTACAATTGGATAAACTTCAAGAGACTCTTTTTTTGTTGCCCAGTTATCTGTGTTGAACCAAGAAGTGGAACAGCAAGACTCTCAGTTGCTTAGGTGGGCCATTCCCAGTCAGAACTGGTTTTAAGTCTGTAATCTGGAGGCAGATGGTGAGTAGAGGTACTCCTTGCCCAAAAGGCAGTTGGAACAGAATGTTGGCATGCCAGGGGGTATGGACATTACGACAGACACTCTGCCTCTAGGCCCTTTTACTCAATCTCCCAGCTTAGACTTCTGAGCAAGCCTACTCTTACTATTCTTCTTTATGTGTTCAAACCAAAAGAGCAGTTTTGAGTCAGAATAAGTCTAGAAGGGAAGCGTGATTACATTAAACCCTGATTAAAACACCAGTCTCAAGCATGAAGAGAGGTAAAAATTAAAAATAATTTCTTAGCTTCTTGGTTAAAGACATAAATCTAATTTTTATTAGTCTCAATTTCATTTAGCGTCGTCATTATAAGTTAATTTTTTCTTTCTCTAATATGCAGTTTCTCTGAAACAATCAAGATTCTTTTTTCTGTGGATAAGTGTTGGTACCACTATTATCAGTCTTTGAGTCTTCTAAAACTGTCCGTTGTTGAATGCTTAGAATATTTAGTTATAAGATTGTTTAGCTATACCTAGATATCTGAATAATTTATATGTACCTTAGGTAAACATTACAGATCTGGCTTAGAGAATCATGAAATTAATGAAGTCAGCTGTCATCTGTGTGCATGGAAACTCACTAATTTTTCCTCTGATATTAATCAGATTTGGCCAGTTTGTCCTTACTTATTCCAGATATACTGAAAATGGGGGTAGATTTTTTTTAAATTATTTAATTAATTAATTTATTTTTGACTGCATTGGGTCTTCATTGCTGCACGCAGGCTTTCTCTTGCTGTGGTGAGTGGGGGCTACTCTTCGTTGTGGTGCATGGGCTTCTCATTGTGGTGGCTTCTCTTGTTGCGGAGCATGGGCTCTAGATGCGCGGGCTTCAATAGTTGTGTCGGGCGGGTTCAGTAGTTGTGGCTTGCGGGCTCTAGAGCGCAGCCTCAGTAGTTGTGGCACACGGGCTTAGTTGCTCTGCGGCATGTGGGATCTTCCCAGACCAGTGCTCGAACCCATGTCCCCTGCATTGGCAGGTGGATTCTGAACCACGGAGCCACCAGGGAAGCCTCGGGGCTGGATTTTTAAAAGGGCTTAAACCTTGGAAATGATGACATGACAACTAATGTGTAAGCCCAGGGAAAGGCTAGTATCGTTAGATTTCTTTAGTGTCACATTCCAGAATATTTTTGTTATATTAGGAAGTGTTTCCAAACCTCTGTGTGGAAGAGGTAAAGATAGTAGAGATAATAAATCAGCCATTTGCCTTTTGGTTTAAAGCACTGTAATTCCTCATTTGGAGAGCTAACAAATCCACCTTTAAGACTTCACAGTTCTCATTCATTCGGCTGAGGTGTAATGTAGTACACCCATTCTTTATATTTAGAGAACTTAATGCCTTTTGTGAGGCTACCTGTGGCAGGAAGTGGATGATGAAGGGTCTGTTCCTGTCCAGGAGGATTTAGCCTACTATTGATGACAGGGCATGTGGGTAGCAGAATTTGGGATATCAACCAAGTAGAAATCTGGGGAAAAGTTATGCAGGGAACAAAGGGATGATTATTGCCAGTCACCGAGAATTCTTACTAGTAAAGTTCTCTAAGTGAGGTAGTGTTCTCAAATAAGAGTAAAATGTAGATTGATGAGCAGTATAGATCAGTGGGGAATTTGGTTGGCAGGAAAATGATTAGGTTGAAGAATTTTAGGCTAGACCTGAAGCCTTACTCATTAAAATGGTTCATTTTATTTTATTTTTTAAACATCTTTATTGGAGTATAATTGCTTTACAATGGTGTGTTAGTTTCTGCTTTATAACAAAGTGAATCAGCTCTACATATACATATATCCCCATATCTTAAAATGATTCTTTAAAATTAAACGAAAGAGTTGGATTAAGAGAGTCTTGTTTGGTATGATTTCCCTATTTTCCTTTCAGTCTGTAGGTTGGCTGCATAACAGAAAAAAGTGGAGTTAGCTGTATGTCTTGCAGATCTTAGATCTTTGGTCACTTTGAATAATTTTGGAAATGAGGCAGTAACATGAGCCCCTTAAGCTGTCTTAAAGATCACAGACACGAAAACTTAAATATATTTTAATTTTGTATCCTTGCAGATTGATCATTTATTCATTAGTAATTTACCAGAGATTGTGGTGGAGTTATTAATGACGTTACATGAACCAGCAACTTCTGGTGCCAGCCAAAGCACTGACCCCTGTGACTTTTCAGGGTATGGGTATTTTTAACTTAGAGAATTAGCTGCAATTTCAGAACCTTGAGAAGTTTATTGGTTAACACATTCAAATGTCCATTTCAGTTGTTAGGCATGTACTCTGCTTTTAAATTCTGTTTCTTTAAAAATAATTACCTTTGTATTGAAGTATCTGCTCTACTGTAGCCTCTCCACAGTAATTGATCTTTTAATTGACCACCTTATTCTCAAATTCAGTGACCTTTTTCTCCTCAATCTTTTTGTAATATTTGAGCATTCTGCCATCTCCTGTCTCATGAAATTTTCTTCTTCATGACATTATTCTTTGTTCTCTTCTTATCTATGACTCGGCTTTCTGTATCACCTTTGCTTTATCATGCTCCTTTGCTAGGGGAATCTTACTGTACTATAATTTCATTTGGATGTGAAACCCACTTGGTTGTATGTGAATGTTAAAATTATTTTCTCAGCTTGATTGTAAGCTACTTGAAAATGCCCTTAACTTCTTTTATATGCTCTACAATGCTAAGCGTATAAAATAGTGATAATATCTACTAAAATACTTTTACATATGTAATTTCATTTGATGTAGTATTTGATTGCTGTGTCTTAAGATATTATTGTGTTTATAGTACTAGCATAGAGCTTTAATTCATAACTGAAGTGAATTGGTATTAAGTCTCATTTGTGGAATTCCATTAACTTTATAAAAGATTTTTTAAGCAAATTATTTAAAATTGACTAAGTCCTAGAAAGTTAAAGTATTTAGGTATTCTGATTGATGTATATAGTCTGTGATATGTCATTTGTGATTTCATTAAAAGTCTAGTTTTCAGTAGAAAATAATTTCAAAATTTGGGGTTACTGTAATCTAAATTTTCTTTTTGGATTTTCACTTGTCTATTAAGAAAATGTTTTTTCTTGATAATTTTTTTCTGAAAATGACTGTATTTTTTTCTGTAACTCTTAGGGATTTGGATCCTGCTCCTAATCCACCTCATTTTCCATCACATGTGATTAAAGCGACATTTGCCTATATCAGCAATTGCCACAAAACCAAGCTTAAAAGCATTTTAGAAATTCTTTCCAAAAGCCCTGTAAGTATACATTACTAGTATAATAACTGAAGGGAGAATTCCTTCTTTTTCAGTTAGAAAATCTGTATATCTTAAAGAGAAAAAAAAGTAAACAAATGGAAAATTTATCTGAATAAATTAAGAAAAACACTCATTTACAAGTTTATATCTTGGTATTTTACTTGTCAGTATTAATTGAAATATGTCACATATGAGGGCTGAATTTCATGACATTTTAGTCATGTTGGCTCGGAATATATACATATATATATAATGTATATTTTAAGGATATACTATTATTTACTCTCTGAAAACTAAGTAAATTGACAGTAGTTTTTTAGGTTTAAGATAGTAATTTTCTTAATGTAATATTTTGCATTTGATATCAAAACCCAAAACAAAATTCTATAATTTAGAATTCTGTATTTTGAATAAAAAATGTATGTATTATGGGCTGAGTATATGTGATTAGGCAAGTTTTTACTAAATGTATCTTTATTTTCTAGGATTCCTATCAGAAAATTCTTCTGGCCATATGTGAGCAAGCAGTTGAGACAAATAATGTTTATAAAAAACATAGAATTCTTAAAATATATCACCTGTTTGTTAGTTTATTAATGGACGATATAAAGAGTGGCTTAGGAGGAGCTTGGGCCTTTGTTCTTCGAGACGTTATTTATACTTTGATTCACTATATCAACCAAAGGTAAATAATATATTTAGACCAATATATAAGTAGTTTTTCTACCCTTTTATCTTAATTGAAAATTTATATACTTCTACAAGGTAGAAGCCAGAGTATTGTTTTCTGAATTTTGCCTTTTTAATATATATTATATCTACCTATTATATTTTACAAAGTGCATCACTACTTCTCCAACTCTAGAAATCTTTAAGTATTAAGGGTCTTCAACATTTTAAATATTCTAATTTTAGATGGCCATAAATGCATATATTACCATAGCAGTTCTGGTCACCACTTACAGTGTGTGTGGTAGGGGGCAAAGAGGGGTTCCCTGTACACATCCAGGGAATTATCCAGACATCAGCGGATACCTAGCTGTAGATAGTGTTAGATCCCACAGGTTAAGAGCTCAAGTTCTGCAAGATTGTCCTTTCCAACCTCATTAGACACCATTTGAAAGCCCAGGTTATCAGTGGCTACAGATTTCAGTGACCCCTTTCTTAGGTTTGATTAATTTGCTAGAGTGGCTCACAGAACTCAAGAAACCTGTTTACTCACTAGATTGCCGGTTTATTACAAAAAGAAATAACTTAGGAATAGCCAGATGGAAGAGATGCATAGGGCAAGGTATGGGGAAGGGGCATGGAGCTCCCATGCCCTCTCCAGGCATTTCACTATCTCCATACCGGCAAGTGTTCACCAACCCAGAAGCTCCCTAAACCCCATCATTTTGGGTGTTAATGGAAGCCTCATTAAATAGGCATGACTGATGAAATCATCACAGTCATTGGTGATTGAATCAGCTTCCATCTCCCTATGCCCTTCTTGGAGGTCAGAGAGGTGGGACCGAAAGTTCCAACCCTCTAATCACAGGGTTGGTTCTCCTGGCAACCAGCCCCCATTCTTAGGTGCTTCCCCAAATTTACTCATTAACATAAAAAAAGACTCCTTTATTGTTCTTGTCACAGGAAATTCCAAGAGTTTTAGGAACTCTGTGCCAGAAATGGGGACCAAATATATATTTCTTATTATAAATCACAACATCACAGTTACTATAGATTTTGGGATGTATGTTCTTTTTAGCATCTCTATTCCTTTCCATTGACTTTAATGATGTTTCTATTATTTGTTTTCTTATTAGTAGATAACATAGCCATCAAATAAATTTAAGTCCTTCAAAGCACATGAAGGTACCTATTTCCATTTTGTTTTCTCATAATTTTCTTTTTTGGCTTTTAAAAAATATTTTATAATTTTTATTTTAATTTAAGTCACATGTTTGTATAGTCATTCAGTCTTTTTCCAGCACTAATTTTTTTTTTAGGTTTTATTATTTTGGTAAAATATATAACATAAAATTTGTCATTTTTAACCATTTTTTTAAGTGTCCAATTCAGTGATATTAATTACGTTCACAGTTTCGTGTTTCCATCGCCACTGTTTCCAAAACTGTTTCATTACCTCAAATAGAACCTCTGTACCCATTAAGCAATAATTCCACATTACCACTTCCCTGTAAGCCCCTGATAACCTCTAATATACTTCCTGTCTCTATGAATTTGCCTGTTACAGATATTTCATATAAGTAGAATCATAACTTATTTTTCCTTTTCTGTCTGGCTTGTTTCACTTAGCGTGTCTTCAGGGTTCATCCAGCATCATACTTTTTTATCACTAAGTAATATTCCATTGGATATATGTACCACATTTTGTTTATCCATTCATCTGTTGATGAACACTTGGGTTGTTTCATGGGTATGAAGTGGCATCTCACTGGGGTTTTGATTTTACATTTTCCTACTGACTAATGATATTGAACGTCTTTTCATGAGCTTAGTGACCATTTGTATATCTGTTTTGGAGAAATGTCTGTTTAAGTCCTTTGCCCATTTTTTAAAATTGGATTGTCTTTTTGTTGAGCCGTAGGAGTTCTTTATATATTCTTGGTGTTGAACTCTTAATATATGATTTGCAAATATATTCTGGATATTGAATTCATATATGATTTGAAAGTAGTTTCTCCCATCCTATAAAATTTTCACTTTCCTGATAATGTCTTTTGATGCGCAGATCTTTTTAATTTTGATAAAGTCTGATTTATCTTGTTTGGTTTTTTTTTTTGTTTCACGTGGTTTTGGTATTATATGTAAGAATTCATTGTCAAATCTAAGGTCACAAAGATTTATCCTTAGAGTTTATTCTAAGAGTTTTATGCTTTTAGCTCTTATATTTAGGTTGTTTATTCATTTTAATTTTTATATGTGGTGTGAGTTAGGGGTTCAATGTCATTCTTTTGCATGTAGAAATCTAATTGTTCCAGCGTGTTGTTAAAGAGAATGTTCTTTCCCCTTTGAAGGGACTTGGCATCCTTGCCAAAAATCAGTTAGCCATTGGTGTATGGGTTTATTTCTGGATTCTCAGTTCTATTCCATTGGTCTTTACTTGTGCCATACCATGCTGTGTTGATTACTACAGCTTTATAGTAACTTTTGAAATCAGGAAGTGTGAGTCATCTAGTGTTGTTCTTCTTTTTCAAGATTGTTTTGGTTGTTTGCGGTCCCTTGCAATTCCATGTGAGTTTATGCAAAAAAGTCTGTTGGAATTTAGAGGGAGATTGCATTGAATATGTGACTATTTAGATAGTATTAACATCTCAACAATTTGCCTTCCAATCCATGAACACAGGATGTCTTTCCATTTAGTTGAACTTATTTAATCTCTTTCATCCATGCTATATAGTTTTCAGTGCACAGGCCTTTCACATCCTTGGTTAGATTTATTCCCAGGTATTTAATTCTTTTAGATGCTCTTGTAAATGGAGTTTTTTTTGTTTGGTTGGTTGGTTTTTTGCGGTATATGGGCCTCTCACTGTCGTGGCCTCTCCCATTGCAGAGCACAGGCTCTGGACGCGCAGGCTCAGCGGCCATGGCTCACGGGCCCAGCCGCTCCGCAGCATGTGGGATCTTCCCGGACCGGGGCATGAACCCATGTCCCCTGCATCGGCAGGCGGACTCTCAACCACTGTGCCACCAGGGAAGCCCTGTAAATGGAGTTTTTTAATCAATTTCCATTTTAGATTGTCAACTGCTATTGTATAGAAACAAATAATTTTGTACGTTGATTTTGTGACTTGTAACTTTGCTAAATTTGTTTGTTACTTCTAGTAGATTTATTGTGGATTCTTTTGGGAGTTTCTATATATATAGAATCATGTCATCTGGATTTAGTTTTACTTCTTCCCTTCTGATTTGGATGCCCTTTATTTCTTTTTCTTTTTTAATTGCTCTGGCTGGAAGTTCAGTGCAATGTTGTGTATCAGTGGTGAAAGTGGGCATCCTTGTCTTATTCCTGATCTTAGTGGGAAAGCTTTCAGTTTTTCAACATTATGTTGTTAGCTTTGGGTTTTCATAGGTTACCATTATTTTGTTGAGAAAGTTTCTCTCTATTCTGATGTTTTTCTGAGTGTTTTTCTCATGAAAGGATGTTAGATTTTGTCAAATGCCTTTTCTATTTGTTGAGATGGTCATGTGTTGTATTCTTTCATTCTATCAATGTGGTATATTACATGGATTGACTTTCCTATACTGATCCACTCTTACATTCCTGGGATAAATCCCACTTGCTCATGATGTATATCCTTTTTTTTTTTTAATAGGTCTTTATTGGAGTATAATTGCTTCACAATACCGTGTTAGTTTCTTTTTTTATATAAATTACTTTAAACAAATTACTTTGTTACTGCATGTGGGCTTTTCTCTAGTTGTGGCGAGCAGGGGCTACTATTTGTTGCGGTGCGCAGACTTCTCATTGTGGTGGCTTCTATTGTTGCGGAGCCTGTGGCTCTAGGCACGCAGGCTTCAGTAGTTGTGGCTTGCGGGCTCCAGAATGCAGGCCCAGTAGTTCCGGCACATGAACTTAGTTGCTCCATGGCATGTGAGATCTTCCTGGACCAGGGCTCCAACCCATGTCCCTTGCATTAGCAAGCGGATTCTCAACCACTGCGTCACCAGGGAAGCCCCCATGTTAGTTTCTGTTGCACAACAAAGCGAATCAGCCATATGCATACACATGTCCCCCCATATCCCATCCCTCTTGAGCCTCCTTCCCATCCTCTCTATCCCACCCTTCTAGGTCATCGCAAAGCACTGAGCTGATCTCCCTGTAGTATGCTGCTGCTTCCCACCAGCCAACTATTTTACATTTGGTAGTGTATATATGTCAATGCTACTCTCACTTCGCCCCAGCTTCGTCCTCCCACCCCATGTCCTCAAGTCGATTTTCTATGTCTACCTCTTTATTCCTGCTCTGCAACTAGGTCATGAGTACCATTTTTTTGTTGTTTTTTAGATTCCATGTATATGCATTAGCATATAGTATTTGTTTTTCTCTTTCTGACTTACTTCACTCTGTATGACAGACTCTAGGTCCATCCACCTCACTGCAAATAACTCAATTTCGTTTCTTTTTATGGCTGAGTTTGTATACATTGTATATATGTGCCACATCTTCTTTTCCATTCATCTGTCGATGGACATTTAGGTTCCATGTCCTGGCTATTGGTGGCTACTAAATAGTGCTGCAGTGAACATTGTGGTGCATGTCTCATTTTGAATTATGGTTTTCTCAGGGTATATGCCCAGTAGTGGGATTGCTGGGTCATATGGTAGTTCTATTTTTAGTTTTTTAAGGAACCTCCATACTGTTTTCCATAGTGGTTGTATCAATTTACATTCCCACCAACTGTGCAGGAGGGTTCCCTTTTCACCACACCCTTTCCAGCATTTATTGTTTCTAGCTTTTTTGATAATGCCCATTCTGACCAGCGTGAGGTGATACCTCATTGTGGTTTTGATTTGCATTTCTCTAATAATTAGTGATGTTGAGCATCTTTTCATGTGCCTCTTGGCCCTCTGTATGTGTTCCTTGGTGAAATGTCTATTTAGGTCTTCTGTCCATTTTTTAACTGGATTGTTTTTTTTTTTGATATTGAGCTCCATGAGCTGTTTGTATATTTTGGAGTA